TAGTAACAAGTGCATCGCTACTAGTAGCAAGTGCATCGCTACTAGTAGCAAGTGCATCGCTACTAGTATAACAAGTGCATCGCTACTAGTAACAAGTGCATCGCTACTAATCGCTACTAGTAACAAGTGCAGCGCTACTTTGACCGCAGGCACCACGGCAACCGAGGCGCCCAGCCTTGATCAGCATTGTATGTGGTGTCAAGTCCCATTGAGAGAACGACTTCAAGCCCCCTTGTCATCCCTGTAGGCGGTCCCGCCGTCGAGTCATGTTCCGTGCAGCCTCGAGTTGGAGCTTGAACAACTGATGGATGCCGCTCGGTGACGTAGATGATGAAGAAGTGAAGGGATTACTACTAAGTTAGTGTACTGTATTCCTTTCTTTCTCTAAGGACATGTCTGCAACAGCTCCAACGCAGGAGCAACAAGGCTATCAAGGCTTGCTGGGCAGCACGTCGTGTCTTGTGATTTCCTGCGAGGTGCATTTGCAGAGGAGCAAAGAAAAGTACAGGAGAGCGATGCCATGTGATCAGAATTAGAGTCACCCAACCTTGACATCTTCGCAGCCAATTGAGTTGCCTCCAATGAGGAACAGCCGGATGTTTGCCTTTGACGTTTGTCTTGCCAGGACATGCAAGAACAGGATGTGGAGGTGCCACGCAATGTGGTCTTTCTGCTTTGTTTCTTGGTGGCGATTGGTGGCGGCAGGACATGCCTGTGGCCTCTCGAGCTGGAGCGTAGGGAGGTGAAATGCAGCGTAGAGCTGGTCGTTTGTCGTGCTGGTGCGTGCTGCGTGATGCCAGGAGAGATGAAAGGGGATGACAGCTGAACGCATGAATCAGCCAGTGACTTTTCAAACTGAAAAGGCTTGACGCTGAAACCTGCGGCCCGATCGGAGCCTGCTTCTGGCAGCGCAGCGTGAAACAACAAGCAAACTTGGAGAGTCTTATGGTGCCGATGACCGGTGACGATATCCCAAATTAAAGTCACAAATATATTCATAAGATGTCATAATCTTATCTTATATACATATAGCACATATCCTTTGCTTCAAATTACAGTATCTTGGCTCTAATCGGCATGCTGTCCCACAGAGCATGGGGGATGCTCTGGAGGGAGTCTGGAAAGCCGCCAGGGGTGGGGTGGGCTCTAGGAGCGCTTCAGGAGCCTGTGAGCCTTGCGGCTTTGACTTGGAAAAAGGGGTCTTGCGAAAGCTTGCCGACAGTTTTACTTCGATTGGAGTATTGTAATTGGGGCACGAAGAAGGTGCGGCATTATAGCGTAATTGACTTTTGATGCAAGACACCAGTGATGAGTTGCTGCAGTCTGCAGTACTTTGGTTTCTACTGTATTTTGATTAGCTTAGTAGATTAGGTTTATTAGCGAGAGCAGCAGCTCTTGAGTGAGCAGCTCAGACATGCATCAATCGAGACTTCAGATGCTTTCAGCTAAAGACTGGTGCACTCGTCCGATCCGCTATGGTTTGAGGTGCTCTCCTTGCAAAGATGACCGCGCTGCAAAAGATTGCCGAGATTGAGGTGCAGCATGAGATTGTGTGTTAGAGATTGCTTTATATTCTTATTCTCCATCATTTTTCTCAGGTGCGAGTAATCATAGAGAAACCAGCCACACTTGTAGGTGTCCTTGGTTTGTCTTGCGAAGCTCCCTGGTTTCGCTGAACTTCCAAAGAGGCCGAAATGGCACGGACGCAGAAGAACAAAGCAACCAATGCGCATCTTGGGTTGCTGAAGGCGCACCACAGCTACTGAGCAACATCATTGCTAGCAGTCGTGTTTGCTTCTTTCTTTGTTTGAATATGAATAGCGAGACACCCAAAGAACCCAGTGACAAAGTAGAAACATAGTCTTTCTAGTCGCTCGCTTGACAGGCAAAGCTTGCCAAGTTACGAGCGACCATTGTGTCGGAGGGCACGAGAGGTAGCGGTGGTGGAGGTGGACAGCAAGGTTTTGAGGCCTGGATGAAGACTACTTTCAGCAGCAGCGGATGGACAAAGGACGCTAATCTGTCTCGAGTACGGAAGAGTCGGACGTCCAAAGATGTTCAAACAGAGTACGGATGAGTACGGTGACTTAGACCTGCGGACCTGCGCCTGTGCGCAGGTCTCCAAGACGGGAGATGCCAGAGTTGGCCTTATTGGATTTCCGTCGGTGCAGGTCTCAGATGACTCACGTCCACTGGTAGGTTTGGATGTGGAGACCCCAAAATTCTGGATTCAGTTGCCCCCCCCCAGTGGTGTGAAATATGTAAATATCAAGGAAAATGGGGGGATGACTTTGGGTAAAAAGGATAAAGCGAAGTCCAAAAGGATCTCTCAATAAAGATTGTCCAGACGCTTTGTGGGAAAGTCCACCTGGACCGTCCTTGTCGTGTGCCTCCCAGTCCACGACCGAGGTTGGCAAATCCACCTTGCTGAACAAGATGACGGGCAGTAGCAGCGAGGCAGCGCATTACTAGAAGCAAAAAGAAGCTACTTGTCGCAAGGGCATCACTACTAGTAACAATGGCATTACTACTAGTAGCAAATAGCTACTACGAGCAGCACGAAGGAACCATCGACCGATGCTTGTTCCGGTTCGCAGCGGCTCCGGAGCTTCGCTTGTTTCACGAACCATGCGTCAGATCATGCGGCTGGTCAGGTGGCTTCATATGAGTTCACCACTTTGACCTGTGTACCTGGTGTTTTTAATTACAAGGCACTGTGACACTGTGCATTTTTCTTTAAAGCTGCAAAGGATTGTCAATTTGAGTCAATTTGGCATGAGCAAGTCATTTTGCTAAAACATGTTGGAACCGCCTCAAGCAGCAAGCCTGCAAAGTCTTCTGACCTCAGCAGCTTTGGCTTGTTTTCTGACTCAAGAACCTGACCACGGTCAGGGTGCCAAGATCCAGCTGTTGGACTTGCCCGGTATCATCGAGGGTGCCAAGGATGGCAAGGGCCGAGGAAAGCAGGTTCGACCGAAAGCAATGCACAATGCAAAGCAATGCTGTCAGACATTTCCATGGACATGCTGCAAGATGTCGCAAGTAGATCGCCCGCACTATAGATATATCTTGTTTTTTGTCTTTCAAGCGCCAATGAGAAGGCCTCGAGTGGTCGATTTTCTTTTGATATTTGCTGACTGAAGCGTCTTGCAGGTGATCAGTGTGGCATACAGCTGCAGCCTCATCTTGATTGTCATGCGCTAAGATGATGTTTGCAAAGTTGGAAGTACTTTCAGGCAAGCAAATGTGAGTGTTTGAGCAAGTGCTCTGAATGGAAAAGCGTTTTCTTTCCAGTGTCCTTGTGGATCAGGCTCCACTATGCTTTGCTCAAAGTTTCTTGTGGTCTACCCTACTCTAGGAAGCCTCTTTTTGGCCAAGGTCTTAGATGTGATGAAGCCGATCCTGCATAAGCGCAAGATCGAGTACGAGCTCGAGGGTTTTGGGTGCGCTACCAGTTGATTTGCTTGACGTAGAAAGAGGTTGCGAAGACCAACCACTTTGACCAGTTTGATAAACCAACCACTTTGTCCTCAGGATCAGGTTGAACAAGTCGCCGCCAAACATCCTCTTCAAGAAGCGGGACCGTGTCATGGCATCTTTATTTTCGCAGCACCAAACCATCCACGTAGATCCATGTAGCACTTTGTCCACCACGACTTGAGAGGAGAAGGGTGGTATTGCCTTGAATATGGCACCAGGCTGTGAGCTTCAGGACTTGCCAAAGTCGTTGGTGCTTTCGCGGGATTCATCATGATTCATCCCCGACCCAGCATTCTACTCAATGTTTTAGATCCGCGGTGGCTTTCACCGACCTAATGCTTCGATATAAACTACTTCAATCGCCGAACGCTTTGACACGCAGACGAACTCTTTTGAATCTCTTTGGGGACAGAAATAGCACACCTGCTACACCCCCACCACGACATGTCGTATGAACACCAGGAAACAACGGCATACAGCATACACGGCATACACTTGAAACCGTCTTATTTGTGGGCGTATGTTGAGGCTTCGCTTCGCTTTCTGATGTAGATGAAGCAATCAGTCTGATCACATTTTGGCATGTTGGTTGCTAAATATATCCGGGCAAATATGAGACAAACGCTGAAATGGCGCTCCTGCATGTCTCCCTCAACAAGGAAATGCATCAATGCATCTGCAATGTGACATTAGCATTGCTCAACCACACCCGGCACCATGGAGTCGGTGTTGGCAATTTTTTGTGCAATTAAGATTTGGGGACATGTACCCTAGGATATTTTGTCCACGCGAGGACTGCGATGAGGACAGTATCATGCAGGCTCCTGGACATGCAAGCTTTTTGCCGGGAGACATTGCACCTATCGATTTGTTTTTGATTGAATCATCCAAGGTTCTGAAGGAGTACAGAATATCCAATGCGCAAGTTTCTATCAGATGCAACGCAACAATGGATGACATCATAGATACACTTGAGGCGCTGGCATCCTGATTCGGGTACAGAAGGGGGTTCCGGGGTTCCATGCGTCGTTTGGCAGTGGACCGTAGTGGTGACAGGTAGAGCGAGCAATTTTCGGACAGACAGGACATGTCTCTTGATTTGTTTCTTCCAGGGCAATCGAAAGTATTGTCCTGCGATTTATGTGATGAACAAGATCGATCAGATCACAATTGAAGAGCTAGATATCATTGCCGAGGTAGGGCCGCAGTGAAGATGAGTGCTTCTCGTGAAGTAGACATTGCAGAAAACGATATGCAACATGCACCGTCGCTGTTGCTAAGGTGCCTCATCATGTTCCCATTTGTGCCCATCACGAATGGAACCTTGATGGCCTGGTTGAGATGATGTGGAGATATATGAGCCTCTTGAGGCTGAGTCCATAGCCTGACATCTTAAGTCTTAGAGTGTGACGACACTTGACATCGAGCTAGAGTCTCCATGAACACTGTCAGGATATACACCAAGCCACGTGGTCAAATCCCGGACTACACGGTCGCTGACTTGACAAGAAATCAAGAAACAAAAAAAAACGCTCACACATGCTCACACATCATGTGGCATTCGCCACTATGCAAGGCACCGGTGATCCTTCCTGCGGAGAAGAACAAAATCGAGGAGTGCCACGAGCAAATCGGACAAGCTTTTGTGCTGGGTATCCTTTGCTTTTTCAAAAACCCTGCAACACACTGCGCCCACTGAAGAGAGTTGCTGATAAATGAAGCTTGCGTCATTCATTGGTCGTAACAATAATCAAGGAAAGACCAATTCAACCCCCCGCCGCACTGTCGCGAGGACTTTTGTCTTCGAATTCACAAATCTCTTCTTGGACAGTCATTGCCATACAAGATATTGCAAGACAAGAGCATGTTCATTCACAAGCAACACGGGAAAGCATATCAGACAGGAACAGCTGCAAACTGCTCACGCTCAGGTTCAAAGTTGCTTTGGTGTGGGGCATGTCTGTGCAGCATGCCCGTTTGAGACGTTTCTGCTTTAGAACGTTTTGAAGAGCATTTTGAAGAAGATGGCAGGACACGGGTTCTTCTCAGATTTTGGATTCTGCTTGCGGTATCTACTGTATTTAATTGTATTGGTTGCAGGTCAAACACAACCCACAAAGATGTGGGAAAGACCATCAGCTCATGGACGAGGACGTCAGACTTCAGCCCTTCTTTGACAATTTGTATGGACATAGGTCGTACGCATATTATATACATCATATTATATACTCCAGTTCAAGGCATTTGCACAAACAGTGAAGGACGTGGTACAAATCATCAAAAAGGTCGGATGAGCAAGCGATCGTGTTTCACAGTCTTGGATTTGGAGAACCTGGAAGCACTGGAAGCCCTCAAGCTTGTTGGTTAGTGTCGTCTTAGTGTCGTCTTGCTGAATAAGGGACAAGGTAACTGGTTGACGATACGCAATGTTTCATTTCCTAATCTCCAACGCCTGCACAGAGACATCAAAGTAAGCCAAGAGCGAAAGACCGTCAGAAGCGAAAAAGTGATTTGCTTGAAAACATGTAGCATCTGCCTGGCCTGAATTGTGTGAGCGTGAACGCCGTGAACGCTTTCGCCGCTTGCACTGCCTCGATCCAGTGGCTCAGCCCCCACAGATGATGCATCATGATGCCAAAGCGAAGTCTAAGGACCAAAGGATCAAAAGGTTGAGAGGGGAGCAGTGATCTTGGGACATCGACATCATCGAATCATCGACGGACATCGGCACACATCTTTCGACGGGCATGATTTGCGATGAACGAACGAGTTTGTTTCTTTTGGGAGAACGAGTTTGATTAGGAAAGCGACCACCGACCTTTTGAATCTTTTGAAGTTCGAATGGAGCAAAAGCCATTGGGCAATGCCCACTGGGAGGTGTCTGAGGATTGCGCTGCCAATGTCAAACAGTTCTGCCCAAAGATATGCCATTTCACAACTTGGCAGGAAAATGGTGAGCCACCAGGGACTCCAAGAGCAGAGACTCTCGATCAAATGAAGCCAATGATATCGTGAAACAGCCAAGAACGGAAACACCAAGTTGCACCTGGAAGTATGAAATTTGGTGGCGAAATACAGGAGCAACTTATGTATCACGACTTGTGGATACATGTGGGCCCCTTCTCCTGACCACAAGTAGTAATTCGATGTACTTTGTAGTGCGTAGTAGGATCTAGTAGGCAAGATTTAGGCAAGATACTATTTGGTCATCTCAGGCCAAACGCTGCTCCTGAATCGCCATCGGATTGGATCTCAGTGCAGAAAAATGATAAACGTGTCGTGTGTCATAATGCCTGACCAGAAAAGGCGGAAGAAAAGGGAATTGGCTGCCTTATGAAGCCTAAAAAAGGTGGACACAGCGGACACTTTTCCAAAAGGTTGCTTTGTGGAGGCTCGTGCTACGACCGCACCTTCAAGCCCTCGAAGAGTCAAGGTGGGCCAGCGGCGTGCGGTGCCAATGATCATGGGTTTCGCAACCTGCCAAAGAATCCACGGACCACCCTGCCAGAATGGACCCGTCGGGCAGTCTGTCCGGAGCATAGCTGTGCCCGGAATGCTTGCTTTTGCGGCTGCTTTTTCTGTAGTTTGCATACAAAAGGGTGAACATTTGTGGAATCTCATGACCCTTTGTCAAGACACTGTTTGAGGTTATGCACATGTCAACCCTCAGACGTGCGCCAAAGTACAGCTTCCGTGGTGTCAAAGACAGGCCAACCAATGCTTTCGTGCATTCCCCTTGACAGTTGAACTGGCTGCACAGTGTATGATTTAAAATCCGATTGACACATTGCTTTGCCCAACGCGGCCTGGGTACAAGTACAAGGGCAAAATCGCACCTGTTTGTTCAACAGATACGACAACAGATGAGAAGAAACCAGAATGCTTTCCTCAGTTTGGGAAGAGGTCAGGGACTGCACGGTTCTGGAAAGGTTTCAGACAAGGGGCCTACAAGCGGCAGCACAAGTTCCTGGGTGAGGAACTTGGAAGATCTTTGCTTTTTGTGTGTGTCTTTCCAATCTCTGGTTTTGGTGCAAGAACACGGAGAGATATTTGGGCAAGGCAGCGTAGGCGTGATGCATGCATTTATCATACCATTTGTCAGGCCGGGAGCATATGGCAAAGAAGTGGTCGCACCACAGGCCAAATATCTCAATGACCACAGGTCACTCAAAGACATTGTAAAAATACGCGCTTTTTCAAAAACAAACACCTGCTGCTGCACATCATTCTTCTGCTTCTGGCAGGTCTACTCATCACGACATCGCAAAAGTCCTGGCTATGGATTTGGCACCAGTGCCAAACAGGTGCAAGACCAATCCATGTAAGGTGTACTTTGGAGATCTTTGGGTTGGAAGGCCTCATAAGGATTCTTTTTGGGTTCGAAGAGCGCTCAAAAGGTCCAAAAGGCAAATGTGAGAAGAAATGTCACCACCAACGCCGCTTGTGGGGTCTCTCTTTTTGAATGCACAACTCATAATTTTCTCTCAAAGAGCGCAGCGATCTCTCTCACACCTCCCAATTAAATCCCTTCCTCTCAAGACACGTCTCAAGGAGGAGACGGAGATCCGGGCTCCAGGACCAGGCACTTATCCCAGAGCTTCTTCAGGCGATGGCGTTTGTGGGGGCATGGGGCATGTTTGTGAACCAAGACAATAGATGTATGTAAACAAAAAGAGGTGGCTGATTTGACGAATTCAATGACACACCAAATGCACTGGTGAACGGCTTCGATGAAGGACCTGCAAGTGCTTCGTTGTCCGTGAGGCTTCATGGGGGCTGGCAAGGCCTTTTCTTTGACGCCGCGTCGTTGGCCGGGCCCTCCACCGAATGATGGCAACCACATTCTATCGTGAGGATCCAAGAGACACGGAAGCTGCGTCAAATGCTCGGAAGCTGAATTTTCGTTGTACGTAGGCGTATGTTCTCTCTCTCCTTTCTGTGATCAATTCTTATCACTCATTCATCCTACAGGCCATACAAGGTTCAAAAGAAGTTCTATGCACTACCTCCTCCATCCGCATGGTCCTGTGCTTGTCAGTGTCCAGGTTTCAAGGTGTCGCTATCTTGGGTCAGGTCCACTACAGATATAGATTATAGAACTGTCTCCAAAATGCTTTGTCGTAACTACTGTGCTTCACAGTGCGTGCATGGTAGTTTAATGTAGTTTAGGCCATGCTGTCAGCCGTTGGGATATTTTGATTGTGCCATGTTGTAGCCTTTGATGTGGATGTTGCTGGCGTCGTTGTGCTGCCTTTTCGTCGTCCCGATTTGTCCCCATGATTTTGGGAAGTTGTTGTGAGATCAGCACGACCCAGGCCTGGACCTGGTGCCCATGATGTTGACAGTGGTGTCAAAGGGTACACCCAGCTCGACTGTGCCGCTTTCGTACATCACTCACGGGCAGATATTTTTGGTTTTGTACTGATTTGGGTGCCAGTACTGTAATGAATTGGGTGCCAGGCCGCGCTACAGCATTTCACCAAGAAGGGTTCCAGAGAAGGCTGCCTAAATGCTGGATTGTTGTCTCGTTGTCCTTAAGAGAAGTTAGTTGGCGGTTTTACAATTCCAACCTATAGCGGTTGGCGTAGAAATGTAGATGTCAAGGCCATACTGCAACTTCCCTGAGCACGATCAATCTGCGATTAAAAAACTCCTGTGCAGCATGCATGCCTCCTTCATGTGCAGGGTGGTGCTCTCATTCCAGGGCCTGCTCCTTACCACTTCACTTTCTCTTATTTTCAACTTCGACGGCTGTTTGCTCCCAGGCCTTCTCAATATGGGATGATGGACAGAGCGCTCGGCCAAACAAAGCCGAAGCTTCCGAGCCAGCCTGACTTGAGTTTCTCCAAACACCTTGCCGCTGCTCTTTCATCACTTCTTGCGACTTGTGCCAGGTTGGGGCTTTGGCACCACAAAACGCCCAGGCACCTCGAAACGCTTTGGCTCACAACCGACCTCGAAATCTTGATTCGGACACTAGCTCCAAGGCTTCATTCTGCACGATGACCGGCCAGTTCCAGGGATCAAAGGTCGGTGCACTTAAGTCTGCCACTACTCTGACAAGAAATGGTTTCTCCATGTTTCTCCCTTTCTGCTAGGTACATTTAGTATCATTTAGTATTGCCACTAATTCAACACGTAAGCAACTGATTTGTTGTGCGGAGTTCATATGATGTTTCTGCTGCGAAGGAAAGAGCGGCGCTTCGGCCTGGGTGTCCAAACTACCTGGACCCGGCTCGTCACCTTGTTTGCACATTATATCTTTGTATGGAACGAAGAGTTCCCTATCTACTGGGTTAGAGTCTATTTTCTATTTCTGAAGGGTGTTCGGGGGACTCAGCAAGATATTTCTCTAGCAAATTTCAACAAAGTGCTGCTTTTTTGTGCGGGTAAATCATCATTCAATTGTCCTGCCAGCCAAGGTACAATACTCCAAGCACTGTTGGTGAAGGGCCAAAGTCAGCGCCTCGTTCTTGGCGGTGCACAGCGCTTTGAACAATCCCTGATTATATAGAGGTACTCTGTGGGTGCTCGAAGGATACAGTCTCGACGCATACTGTCACCTGGACCAGGCAAAGGTTTGGCAAATTGAGCAATGTCGAACATTTTTGACACATGCAAGTCAAGCAAAATCTGGCACAGAACACATGCACTTTGCAGAGAAACTGGCATTGTGCAGGAGACACGGGCGGCAAGCTCCTTAGATGGTATGCCTTAAAGGTACTACTGTAAGTAGTAGCAAAAGATACAAAATGAAGCGTATTTAGCTGGAATCTCCTTGCTCGATCCATTTGTTGTTGTCGGATTGGAGTTGGAATCAAACATTTCAAAAGAACTGTCGAACTCAGGACCCTACACTACCTTCGTTTAGAACAAGCTTGGGTTCGTGAGGCCCGAGCCCAGATATTTTTGGAATGCGCCATGCGCAAAGCGCAGAAGACTGAATTGAGGAAGTCGTCGTATCACTTTGACAGCTGCCCTGAATCGCGGGGCGAGCAACGCATTTTCGAAGCATGTGCAGAGGCAGATCGCAGGCTTTGCACCACCCCAAATACTTGTAGCTGTCAACATGTTTACGATAAGCCAATAGCGGAAATCATTAAGAAAGTGGCTTGGAAGGGGTGCGCAATGCAAGTTGGGTCAGCTCAAGGCTTTCCACCCGGCTTCGTGAAAGGAATGTGTTCCAGCACACCAATACGTGACTGAGGAGGGGGAGTCGTTTTGGCTTCAGTTCGCTTGGGAGTCGTCTTGGACTGGAGAGTTATGGAGAGAATTCCGGCCAAGGTATTGGACTCCTTGGTTAGTTGAGCCCTGGCTCAAGCTTCGGAAGGGCATCATGTCAAGAGGCTTCA